GGGAGCTGGCTGTCTGCCCAAGGACGCAGGCTCTGGAGGGTCCTCACCCAGGGCGTCCTGCTCACCCGCCAGGCACGAGCCCCTGAACCAGGACGGTCACCCAGGCCCCAGCCCCTCAACCAGGACGGTCACCCAGGCCCCAGGGCCTGAACCAGGACGGTCACCCAGGCCGCAGCCCCTCAACCAGGATGGCCACCCGGGACCCCAAGCCCTGAACCAGGACGGTCACCTGGGGCCCAGCCCCTGAACCAGGATGGTCACCCAGGCCCCAGGCCCTCAACCAGGACGGTCACCCAGGGTTGGGGGTGCATCCAGCCCCGCTGCGCCCCCCTCGCCCCTTGTCCCTCCTCCCCTGCACACGTGTGCACACGCACATGCATGTATGTACAAGCATCCCCAACCCCCCAGGTCTGGCACCACCCTGCTTCCAGCTGCACAGGGAGCCAGGAAGCCTGAGCAGGGGGACCGGAGACCACCACCCTCACGGCCCCGGGCCTCTGCCCAGGACATGCCGCAGCCACACGATTTACCCTGAGCTCCACACCCTGGGCCCTGCTGGGCCGCCCGGCACGTCTGCTAAGCAGGGGACAGCATCGGAGCGTGCTGTGGTCCTCACATCATGCAGCCTCTGCTGAAGGCAACTTTCCAGTGGTGTTTGTGCGGATTGTAATATACGATTATTTCCTCGCGGGGAAAATGAGGAACGCCCCTGCAGCCCTGCTCCCAGCCCAGGAGCCCGCCATTGCACCCGGGAGCTGCGGTCCCGTCGGCAGCCGCCACCCACTCCGCGCCCACCCTGAGCATGCTGGACCTGCAGCTGCCCTCTCCCCAGGTCTCTCTTCGAAGGACAGAAGCAGTCGCACGCAGACGCCTGAGCACTCTGTGACAGTTGGAAATTTAAAAGCAAAAGTCCCGAGGCACCTGCAGGGATCAGTTAGGCTTCCAACTCTTGATTTTGGCTTGGGCCATGATCACCTGGGTGGTGGGATCAAGCGTCGGGCTTCGTGCTCAGCGGGGCATCTGCTAGAGGTTCTCCCTCCTCCTGCTCGCTCTTGCTCTCTCTCTCGCTCTCTCTCAAATAAATCTTAATAAAACAAATAAAGGCAGAAGTCCTGTGCCTTGGGGGGCTCAGGGCATCCTGGATTGGGGCCCACAGGGGCCGCAGAGGGCTGGGAACTGGCAGGACGACAGGCCCAGGGTACGTCAATGAGGCAGGTCGTGCACCCCTTTGGGGGGCCTGACACGGATGGATCTGTATGGACACGAGCCGATTCTGACTCTCCTAGAGCGTCTACACGGAAGTGCCATGATGTCCCCCAGCGAGAAAGTCCCTGTGTGTCGGCTACGCACCTGGAAACCCACTGAAGGGAGAGGGGACAACGTGCAGGCCGTCCACACACGCCCCTGCACACATTCGTAAACACTGTGCTAAACAAATACACGTCGCCAGGGAGCTGGGCTCACGGCTCATGTGCGTGCCCTGGAAGGACGCGGGTGGGTCACCGCCTGGAGCACCTGCTTTGGCCACCAGGAAGCATCGGAGGCCGGATGAGGATCACTCGGCCTGAACATCGACGCGTGTGCCCAGAACATGCCGACGGAGATGCTCAGGGAAGAACGCGGCGCGGGAGCACATGCGGAGCACACGCGGCCCGCGTGCTGACATGGGAGGTGAAGTGAAGGGCTGGGCTCCGCCTGGGGAGCCTGAGGACGCCTCCGGGTGCACAGCCTGGCCCCCGGCAACGGAGCACCTGTCTTGCGGGATGGCCCCCCTCGGCCGTGGGGTAGCGCGTGCTTCCTGGGACGCAGAGTTTGTGGCCGTGCAGGCGTCTGCAGGGTGGCTGTCCCGCTCGGGGCCGCCCCTCGCCCCCATGCGGGAGGGCACCCGCCTGTGCCGGGTCAGCCTCGTTCCAGCTGGAGGACCTTCAGGGTCCGGGGGCCCGAGGGGGTGCACGCGGGCATCAGGGACGCCCGCCCCCTCCCAGCACGCGTCTCCGCAGCGCTCAGCGGTGCAACACAAACTTGGGGCAGACTTGGACTTACCACCTAAGAATTTTAGGAATTTCCTCCCGTCTGCAAAGAAAACTCGTTCCAAACCTCCCTCCCTGTCACAACCGTGGGGGCGTGAAGGACCTCCGCGCCCTGGGGTAGGCTCTGCCCTCCGGCCACACAGCCTGCCTCCCACGTCCCCCCGCGGGGCACGGGCTTCCTCGGTGCTGGCCCCCTCCCCGCCCCTTCCCTGCTGTCCTCCCGCTTCCTGCCGGGCTGGGGGCTTTCCACATATTCTTCAGATAAAGCTCGGCCAGCGGGTAGGAGGCCACGCAGGGCGGCCCCCGCTTCCCATTGGGGAAATAGTGCTGGCTGGACACCCTCCTTCGCTCTGGAAAAACACATCCAGCAATTGTAAGTTAATATCCAATTTGAGACTTCATCCATGGAAATTTTATGGCTAAAAACAAAGGTTCTGACAGGCGGCCTCTGCTTTGCCTTAGAGACAGCTGAAGCCCGGGAGGAGGACCGGCTGCGCCCTTCCAAGCCCGGGGCTCCTGCGGGCCGCGGGCTCCTCCTGCTGAGAAGTGCCTGAAGCACCTCAGAGGGCGGCGGGGACGAGGGTCGGGGGTCTGTGGGGACTCGGAAGCTTGGGGCGGGGACTCGCTTTTACCCACGGAGAAGAGCGGCTGCAATGCTTATCCTAGAAATGGAAGCACAAGACTAGTTCCGTCCAGGGCAGCGGGGAGCAGGTGCGTCCAGTCAGCCGCCTGTCCTCTCCGGAGATTTGACTTTAGACCCACGGAAGTAAGGAAATACGTTCAGCCATTATAAAGAGAATTAGGTTGAAAGCACCTGCGCCTGCTGGAGGGACGGACGCCCACGGTGGGGGGACATCCCCTGGAGGGTCTCCTGGGGGCTCCACACACCCCTGCCCTCTGAGCGCCCAGGCTCGCCGGAGTCCCAGGCCAAGGCCCCTCTGCACTGGGCCTCTGCGTGTCCTTTCCCAGCCCCGGGCCCGAAGTGTCCCTCCCCCAACCGGAGCACCCAGGGCCGGGGGGGCAGAGGCCCCCCGCGCTCCCCGAGGCTCTGCTCACTCGGCTGCGAGCACGTCTCCCATGAGTGCAGCCAGTTGGGAGCCGTTCCTGGGAACCCCGTTCTACCCAAACCAACAGGCACAGCTCTGGATGAGAGTCTGCTGGGTGCTGGGCTGGCAGTGTAGACAGTGTAGACAGATACGGAGGGTGTGGGGGGGTCTGGGGGGACTGGAGGTGGGGGAGGGGGATGGGGAAGGGGGACAGGGGAGGGCAGGTGAGAGTGGGGTGGGGGTGGGGACGACCCCCCTGAGCCATTTCCCGGCATGTGCTGGCTGCCGCGAGGAACCCCCCCGCCCCCCACGCTCAATGTTGGGGGCTTGAACAAGTGTCATGTAATTAAAACAAGACGAGAAACTGAGTAGAAACTGTGGAGTTTCTCGCTGTCAGGAGTCCACGCGGCTAGGCACCCGGAGCACCACGGAGAGTGTCGCATGGCGGGGGCGGGGGTACAGCATCATACTGACCACCCCACCCGCAGGGCCTGGCGCGGAGCTCCGAGGGACCGAGGGTCCGAGGGACCCGAGGAGCCTCCCGCTCGTGCAGGCGTCAGAGCTCCAGCTGCGGATGCACCTGCGGCCGCTCTGGACTCCCCGACTGCGGGTCTCCGGGGGTCACCCGCCCCGCGGCACCTTCCAGGGCACCCGCAGTCCTGGAGGACCTGTGCCCCTGCCCACGGCAGTCTAACCCCTCATCCCCTTATCTCTGTGGTTTCCTCCAAGTGCCTGGAGCTTTCCACAGCCGCCCCGGCTGTCCCGAGGCTGCCAGGTGAGGCCGAGCTGAGGGACGTTCTGCGCGGATGCGAGGCTGGTCAGCAGACCCCAGCCTCGTCCATAACCTTGCCCTTCCCACAAAACCTACTTTAAGAGCAGCCGATGCGGGGAACACCTGGGGGCCCAGGGCTGGAGCGTCGGCCTCCGGCTCAGGGCGTGACCCGGGGCCGGGGATCGAGTCCCGCGCGTCAGGCTCTCCCTAGTCTCTGGCTCTCTCTCATGAACAAATAAACTCTTAAGACGGCCCAAGCCGGAGCAGACCGGCCCCCCGCACACGCCCCTGAGCCTCGCTGGCCCAACGGAAGCTCAAGTGTGAGAAGTAACAGAAGTAGAGACACAAACTGCTCAAACCGGAACCAAAGTTTGCATGTGAGCAGCAAGGGAGCTGTGGAGGGGCAGGCGGTCTGCTGAGCGTGCAGGCGGGCGCCCTGGGGTGCAGGCTCTGGGTGGTGGTCAAGCCCATGCTCTCAGGCCAGCCGCCGGAGGGCAGAGCCGGACCAGCGCCCGGGGCTGGAGGGCGGCCTGCGCTTCCCGGCGCGTGCCAGGACGGGGGATTCTGTAAAATGGAAACTTCTGGAAACAACCAACTCAGCAGCAGCGCCCTGCTGTAGGATTTCCGATGCTAGGGGCAAGACGCACCTGCGGGGCAGACATGGAAGCTGTGCAGGTGCCAGTGCGCCCCATGGCCTGGCCGGAGCAGGGACAGCGGGAGTCTCAGTCCCTGCGGGCAGAAGGGCCTGTTGGCTCCCTGCCCCGCCACACACCCACCTGCACCGCGTCACCCCGAGAGAACACAGACCAGGGCTCCCCACCAGCATAGGTAGCTGCCACCTAAAGGGCCACGGTTAGCCCTGGAAGCATCGTAGGAACCCGTGTGGTCCTGACCAGCTGCCCTCCCCCGCGGAGCCGGAGGACTTGTTCCCGCGCGGGCGCCTGCGTGCAGGTGCAGGTGCAGGCTGTGGGGCCCCACCCAGCAGGCCCCTCCAGCCGGGCCTCCCGCGGCCAGCCAGCATGGGCCTTCAGTTTGCTTCAACACCAGCGTCTTAAGGAAGTTTGAAGGTAATCAAAAAAGCAAAGTTGCAAACATCACATATGTGCTGCCCCAGATAATTGGAAAAATACTTTATTCAATGGTATTACTTTATTCCACGAGAAAGAACAGATGACGACTTATGCCGCATAAAGTATGGCTGGTGGCGAGGGAGCCCCGGGTGGACGGACGGGACGGGGGGCAGGACCTCGTTCACCTTCCGTGTGCGGCTCCCCTGAGGCCAGCAGACCCTGTGGGACAGGGACAGCGTGATACGAGGCGAACGCCCGTGTGCGCCACGCACCCAAGCTCAGCAGTGCAGCTCTCTACTCCCCCCACACGGACTCCCACGCGCACTCCACACACGCTTTCCCGAGAAGCATTTACGTGTCAAAGCAGAGCACACTTGCCTACATGCTGCCTCTGCAGCAGCGCTGAGATGCTGATGGGTGGCCTGGGGGCCAGCACCCGGAAGCCTGCCAGGCTGGGCGAGTCCTCTACTCCCGCTGGGCCCTGGGCCTGGGGCGTCCTGCAGGGGACCTGCAGCGCTGGGATCCTAGGAGCCAATCCAACAGACACACCTGGTCCTCGCCCCTGCGAGCGGGTCTGCACCCAGCACTGGCCCTCTTCTGGGCTGATGCGCCCTGGCAGGGAGGGCTGGTCCCCTGGGCAGCAGGTCCCAGGCATGGCCCCGGGCAGGCTGGGGGCACACAGGGCGGGGTTCCAACACGCAGCAGAGAAGAGGAAGCCCCAGGGTGAAGACGGAGTCGGGGGCTGTGGTGTGTTCAGGGCTGGTGCCTGGCGGCCAGGCCAGCCCCACGTGCGTCTGCAGATGGAGCTGCAGCGGGACAGCTGCGGCCACGTGCCTACTTACCTTCCAGGGCCGTGTCTACACCAGGCAGAACTGAGAACATTACCACCCGCCCTTCTACAGACATGTTTGCCGACCTGGGTCTGTTCCTGGGACGAGATACCATGCGGCCATGAAATGGCTCCTTTGAGTGACAAGGTAACTCCTTGGTGACAAGGTAACTGCCTAAGTTACATTTTAGCTTCAAAAAAGCACAGCGTACAGTGGTCTACACAATATACTCCTACTCAGGACATGCGCAAACGGGTTTAAGAGGAGCCCACGGAGGGCTGAGCGCAGCATCTGCAGGGAGTTGGGCGGTGAGCGCGCCCACATCTCCGCTGGGGCATCTGCGGAGCCGGCGGGACGTTACCTGAGAGCCTGGGACACGCTGCTGAGACTGGGCGTCAGGCCGGGGAGCTGAGGGCCGCCGTGGGAGACGCTGCCTGCGTGCACAGGGTTAGAGGTGAGACAGGGCGGCGTGTCCCCCACAACCCCAGAGACCGCCCTCCACGCCTCCCAGGTGGGGGGAGAACAGGGGGCGCCCAGGGCTTTGTCCCCGCGCTGCAGCTGCTCCGGGGACATGCACCAGGGGCCCCGCAGAGCCTCAGCCTGACACCGCGCTCCAGGCTCCGCAGATGCTTGGAGACATGCGCCCGGCCCCTCACTGTCGGTCTTGGCTCCTGTTACTAAAAACCACTGGAGGGAAAGAGCTGCTAGAAGCTTCCAGCTCTGGTGAGCCCTTGCGGCCAGCACTAGCTCATCTCCACCCACAATGCAAGGTATCCACACTCCCGAATTTCTGCTGACATCCTTCACGCTAATGAGAAGCTTCCTCTAGAGATGTAAACAGCCCCCGGCGTGCGTGAGTCATAGCAGAGAGCAAATCTCAAGGCTGCTCTTGTTTAACACCCGAACTCTGCATCCAGATTTTGGAGAATTTTAACAGGAGAATGGCAGGGAAAGAAAGGACAGCATTTCGGGTGTCCATGTTCCTTCCACAGTTGAAGGACTTGGGTCAGAGAGGGCAGGGCTCTTCCCAGGGCTGCACGGCGCCCACGGGCCAACGGGGATCGTCTGTCCAGCCGTGGGAGGCGCGCGCCGCGGGAGGACTCCGCTGCTGGCAGCACCGCGGCAGCCCGAGTCCGCAGGTGACCCTCCGGAGCTCTGCAGACATACTGAGAATCCGGGAGACAAAGCGTCTCCTGTGTTTTATTCTCGGCATTTTGTGACAGTTTGACACCGTGGGGCCTTGCCTGCCCTGGAGGACCCCCCTCCCAAGGCGAGCTGACTCCCAGGCAGCACAGGTGTGTCTGTCAGCCCACCTGTGACGTGAAACCTGAGCCCTGAGCCTGTGCTCCGGATCACCTCCCTACCCTGCGGCGTCTACACGCGGCCAGCGTCACACAAGACAGCCCCTACCCCTGCCCTGCAAACTGCTCTTACGACCCCAACTAGCCAACCCCAAATCTGGCCAGCCTGCTCCCACCCCACCATGGGCGCGGCGTGCCTGCCTGCCGCTTCCAGGAGACTGTGAGCACGGTGTCATCTGCACGGCGGCGGCCCCTCCTGCTCCGCCGGCCACACAGCCGAGGACGCCAAGCCCAGTACGTCCCAACATGGGGCAGGACCACAAACAGTAATGCTGGCTTTCGTGCTCAACCCCTTACAGCCGACAGAGGCCGGGTCTTATTTATTCTTTATAGCAATTTGTGGAGAGAACGGTCACCAACAGAGATGAGGAAGCAGAGGACCCCAGAGGTCAACTCACAGGGGCCACTCAGGTGGAGCCCCCTGAACCCAGCATGGTGGCCCCCCCGCCCCAGCACAGGAGAACCCGGTGACACGGCGGAGTCTGCGGAACAGAAGACCGTCCCCAGCCACGCAGGAACTCAAGAGCACAGCAGGACCCGGCATGCGGGTGTTCAGCTGTCCCCCTCCTTCCGCCCTCACTGAAAACATGTGGTCAGGCTGATGCTCCACGATCTCAAGACGCCAGCAAGTCAAGGCCTGTAATTCCTGTTTAGGAAAGCAATACTATTAAATGCACTTTACAAAGATTTCCGCTGAGAAACGAAAAACCTTTGTTGTTTGGGGGGTGGGGGTGGGGGTGGAAGTTTCATTATCCAGAATATGGAAAAACTCATCCCCCTGTGATGCCAGACGGACAAGAGCACTTCTGGATGGGGCAAGGTGCCCCAAAAGCAGGTGATGTAGTGTGGCTGGGGCGGGGGAGGAACCTGGGCCGGGTGGAGAGAAGCCGGCACCCATGGCTCATTTACCTCCTAGAGGCTCTGTCTCCAAATACAGTCCTGGGGGTGGGGGTGGGGTTAGGGCTTTGACATATCAATTTTGAGGGGATAAGAAGCAATTTGTGTAAAATGATACATTGAATATATTTAATGCAAAAAAAAAAAGACAGCTAAGGAGATACAGACGAGAAACAAATAGCAAATAACAAAATGGCAGATATATATCCCTAGATGCTGATAACCGTATTTGCCATCAACGGACCAAACACACCAGTGAAAAGGCAGACAGTAGAAGAATGGACCAGGCAAGAAGAAAAGCAACATCTAATACTGTCTGCAAGGGGCACGCTTTGGATTCAAACACGGTTGAAAATTAAAAAGAATGGGAAAAGCTATACCCTGAGGACTGTAACTAACCTGAAAGCTAAATGAAGAGAATTCTACCATCAAAGGCAATTACTGAGGCATAAGTTGATCAATAAAAGACAGACCTATACACGGAGGGCCACAGAAGATCCCCCAGATAAATCAGACATCTAGCAAGTGGAGAGACAGGCACGCCATGCCAATGGATTCAGACTCAAAGCTGTTAAGACAGCAGTTCTCCCCCAGAGAGATGTGCAGAAGCAACATGATTCCTATCAAAATCTCAGCAAGCTTATTTGGTAGAATTTGACAAATGGATCTTAAGATTTATGTAAAAATGTAAAGGACTTAGAATGGCCAAAATCATTTTGGTAAAGCCAGAGGACCTACACTGATTTCAAAAATTTGCAGTAAAGCCAAAAATAATCAGGAAGATGGTATTTTTAAAAATTTTAATCTCTACACCCAATGTGGGGCTCAAACAACCCCGAGATCAGGAGTTGCCTGCTCCACCTGCTGGGCCACCACCGCCCCTAGGAAGATGGTATTTTTATCAGTGGAAAAGAATACAAAGTCCAGAAGAAACATGTGGCAGTTATGGCCACTTGATTAGCCTCAGTTTTGGGCTGTATCATATGCATGATTACAGCAGACTCTTTTTTTTTTTAATTTATGATAGTCACACACACACGGGGGGGGGGGTGCAGAGACACAGGCAGAGGGATAAGCAGGCTCCATGCACCGGGAGCCCAACGCGGGACTCGATCCTGGATCCCCAGGATCGTGCCCTGGGCCAAAGGCAGGCGCCAAACCACTGCACCACCCAGGGATCCCCTACAGCATACTCTTGTACAAGAATCTTGCATCCGTAACCTCAGCAACCTTGATTCCTACTAGTAGTCTTAAAGACCCCTTAGGATTTTCTGCTCCAAGGGCACCGTCTATGATAAGGACACTACATGCATTCTCTCCCACCTGACGGGGCTTTCACTTCCTTCTCTGGCCACCCTGCCCTGGCCAGGGTCCCCAGGGGACAGCATGCTCCCTCTCGACAGTACCCTGCTGGCTGTGGGTTTCCTGCAGATGCTCTTTACCTGGCGAGCAAGATGCCATCTATATTACATGTTTCTTGAGAGTTTCTACCATGGATGATTACAGAATTTTGTCAGATTATCTGCTGAAAAGATCTAATGTTTTTTACATCTTGTATTTCTACTAACATACTTAATTGGTCTTTAGACGTCAAAGAACTTTGAGTTACCAGGATAAACCCCACTTGGTGATGGTATACAACCCTTTTTCTATGTTGCTAGATCTGATTGCCTCATATATTTTATTTATTTTTTTTTAATTTTTTTTAAAATTTTTATTTATTTATGATAGGCACACAGTGAGAGAGAGAGAGGCAGAGACACAGGCAGAGGGAGAAGCAGGCTCCATGCACCAGGAGCCCGACGTGGGATTCGATCCTGGGTCTCCAGGATCGCGCCCTGGGTCAAAGGTAGGCGCTAAACCGCTGCGCCACCCAGGGATCCCTGATTGCCTCATATATTTTAAAAGAATTTTGCATTCAAATTCATAAGGAATGCTGCTCCATTTTCTTTTGTTGTCTTTGGCTTTAAGACATTGCTGTTCTCATAAAATTAACTGGAAAGCATTCAATCCTCTCCTATCTTCTGGAAGAGTTCATACAGGATTACTATTACTTTATTATATGTTTCATAAAATTCACCCATGAAGCTATTGGGAAATGGGCTTTTCTTTGTGGAGAGTTATCAAAATTACTAATTCAACTTCTCTACCTGATAGAGCTCTATCCAGATTTACTGTTTCTTCTCAAGGTGGTTTTGATGATGTCTTTTTAAGATTGTATCCATTTCATGTAAGTCATCTACTTTGTTGGCATGAAATTGTTCATAACATTCTCCTGTAATTCTTTTGATATCTGTAGGGTATGTAGTGATGTCCCTGCTTTCATTCCGCATACTGGTAATTTGTGCTTTCTTGGTCACACTAGGTAAAAGTTTATCAATTTTGCTAATCTTTTCAAAGGACAAATTTTATGTTCCACTAAGTTTTCTATTTCATACACTTCTAATTTATTTAGTTGTAGCTTCTTAAGATTAACTCACTGGCTTTAGGGGGAATCCCTGGGTGGCTCAGCAGTTTAGCGCCTGCCTTTGGTCCAGGGTGTGGTCCTGGGATCTGGGATTGAGTCCCGAGTCAGGCTCCTGGCATGGAGTTTGCTTCTCTCTCTGCCTGTGTCTTTGCCTCTCTCTCTCTATGTCTATCATGAATAAGTAAATAAAATCTTTAAAAAAAAAAGATTAACTCACTGGCTTTAGATCTTTCTAACCTAAGTACCTAAAGCTATACATTTCCAAGCATTGCTTTACCTGCATCTTATAAATTCTGGTATGTTGTACTTTCATTAAATTCGTTTTCTGATGTTGCTGGTGACTTTTTTCCTTGATCCATTCAAAGTCTGTTATAATTGTATTGTTTAATTTCTAAATATTGTTTTTTTCTAACTTGTTTATTCCTAATGTAATTCTATGGTCACCTGAAAATACACTTTGTGTGATTATAATCCCTTTAAATGTGTCAGGATTTGTTGTATGTCCCTGTATGTGGTCTGTTCCAGAGAGTTCCACTTGCAATGGAAAGGAATGTGTGTGGTGTTATTGCCGGGTGGGGTCCACATCTTTCAGGTAAGTCAGTGGGGTTAGCAGTTTACTCGGGTTATTGGAGTGGGATAGGAAATATCCAAATCACAATTGTTGAATTAACCATTTCCCCTCTTAATTTTGTCAGTTTTGACCTCATGTATTTTGGGTCTTTCATTCTTGGTGTGTCAATAGTAATCATTATGTTTTCCTGGTATATTGGCCCTTTTACCATGAAACGCCCATCTCCAATATTTATCTTAAAACTGATTTTGCCTGTGAAAATAGTCTCTCTAGCTCTGTACAGTTGTTTACTTGGTAGAGGTTTTCCTGTAATTTTCCTATGTGTATCTTCGAGTCTAACGTGTGCTTCTTGCAGACAGCATCCAGCTGGGGCAAGCTCCTGCCCAGTCTGCCAATCCCTGCTCTTCTGCTGGAAGGTGTTTAGTGTGTTTACATGTGATCTTATCTCCAACTGGTTAGATCCGTGTGGGCTACATCACTGTTTGCTTATTTCCTCTCACGTCTTCCCTTGTGTAGCTTTCTATCAACCTGAGGAGTATGGAGATCTCTAAAACTGAACCGTTCATTTCTTCTTTCCATCTTGTCAGCTTTTGCTTCACTAATGCACTCTGTGGTTGTATACACATTCTAATAGTGTTTTCCTGATACAGCGACCCTGTGTCACTGAGATGGTCCTCCTCTTCTCCAGAAACATCCTTCGTCCAAAATGGTCTTGTCCAATATTCACACCGCCGCTGTAGCTGGTCTGGTCATGTCTGCGTGCTGTGGTTTCCACCCTGCACTGTGAGTTCACTTGTGCTGCAGATGGCGTGTGGCTGCATCTTCCTCATCCAGTCTGACAACCCCGCCTTCAAAACGGGGGTCTGGTCCCTTTCACACTGAAGAGAAGCACTGACATAATTGGATTTACACCTATTTTGCTCTTTATCTATAGGCCTCATGTGCCCTTTTTCCTTCTGGTCTGCCTTCACTGCCTTCTGTGGTAAGCAACTGCTTTTAATATTTTAATTCCTCTTTATTTTAGAACTACTTTCGGAGTCACGGTCGTGCTTACTGTAAACAGGTCTACTTCTAGCTAACATGGACTTAGTTCTGCAGGGGTACGTCCCCCCTGCTCCAGTACGGCCCCATTCCCCCCGCCTCTGTGCACACCGCCCTATGGGTTACATCTGTTTATGACTCCAGTGAGGGTTATGCTTGCTGCTTCCACAATTTCGTGTTTTGTAAAGTAAGAGAAAGAGACTCCATCCCCTCTGATGCATCAGGTACTTTCAGTGTGTGTCTTCAGCTCAATGCCTTGTTAGATTTCTTGTAGGGCTGATCTGCTAGCAACAATTATGTTCTTGCTACTTTGTGATGTGTTTGTCTTAACCTTTGAAGGAGAATTCTACTAGATACAGCTGGTTGGCCCAGGCTTGGTGGGGGAGGGAGGGTATCATTTAGGCTCCTTTAGAATTTAAGGTCCATAATCCTTAACACTCTTGAAGAGAGAAAAGACAGGGAAGGTGAACGAGACACAAGTGGCTGCACGGCGAGATGCAGGGTGTCCTCGCAGGGGACTCTGGGCCTGAGAGCAGATGAGGTTGCTCAGTGGCTGAGGGGCAGAGCCATGCTGATGCCAAGCTGCCCCCAGGAGGTGCTGGTTTGCGAGCACCCCAGTCCTTTGAGGGAGGCTGGGGCGCCATGTCGGCGACATGCTCTCAGTGGCTCGGGGATATGCTGACCATAAAGGGTAGGGTGCAAAGCTGGCAAAATGATCACAGCTGGAGAATCCGGGTGAGGGGAAAACGGGAGTTTTTTATGTTGTTCTTACTATTTTTCAGTGTGTCATTCTGAAGTATTTTCAGAAGAGATTATAAAAATACGAAGTTGAGATACTCATCTTACAATATATCTCAAAACATACTCCAAAGACCTTGGAAAAAGATGAATATTGAAAACTAGAAGAAATGGCATGGGTATGGAAAAAACCAGTTCAAACACAGAAATCTATGAAAAAAACAAGGGCATAACCACAGATTTGAGACATAAAAATGTTAAGCATCTAAAGTTAAAAAAAATCAAACAAAATTAAACAGCAAATCAAGATCCTTCATCCTGAGGATCTTATGTATGTGAAGGAAAAAGGGAAAAAAAATAGATAAGTCGTGGGAAAAAAAAAAAAGCACTAAAATGAGGGCACTCAGGCTCAGTCACAGTACAAGGACCAGTCCTTTCCAGAGTGGCAAAGGGGGCAGGACGCACATAGGGCAGCCGTCCCATCGCCTCTCAATTCTGCTCGATACATCTGGAAAGCACCAAGGGGGTCCCCATATTCCCTTATGGAAATGTGTTCCAGGAGAGGATCCAGGGAAGACCAGCATCTCCCCTGCATGCACCCTGCACACAGTGCAGATGGCAAGGGGCAAGCGCAGGGGTGGGAAGGGCCGAGGGCACAGCCAGGCTGCGCGGCCAGGCCACAGGTGTCCACCTGGAGGGGAAGACCAGGGGTGTGGGAAGCTCCATGCACACGCTGCTGGTCTCCACAGTTCAGGCCCCACGGCTGCTGGGAAGGTAACAGCCAGTGTGCAGTGGGACCAGGGCATGTGTGGACAGCCTGCCGGCCTCCCACCTGCGTGGGTGCAGGGGTGCTGGGCCCACAGGACGCTCCCAACAAAGGTGAGCGGGGAGCCAGAGCCAGCGTCTGCAAGGAACAGCACCCCAGCACCATGGAAATGGCATTGACAGGACTCTGGGAGGGACTGGAGGGGGTGTCACGTGTCCTCACCAGGGTGTGGCAGGGAGGTCCATGCAGGGCAAGAAACTGGCTAGAGCGAGAAACTCCGTACACAGGGTGGAACTGCCTCCAGGCTGGCACAACAGGCCCATGGTGGGCAGTAGGCGAACGCCCACGCGGGGGTCCTCCCGGCCAGCAGGACCACCACCGCGGTGGCAGCGGCTGAGCCACGTGGGAAGGGCCACCAGAGTCTCCCCCAGGGCAGGTGCTATGGAGCCCCCGGCCCCTGAGATGCGACTTTAGTCAGACGTCCAACTCTGATGCAGCTGATAAAGACCCTGGGCCAGAAGCAGAGGCGGTGCAGAGGGCAGAGACGCTGGGCCCCATGCCTGGCCGCTAACCAGCAGTGCCCCCCCAGGCTGGAGCTCATGGGTGCGGTGAGGAGGGCCAAGGCCAGGGGAAGGGGTCTGGCTTCCGAAACCCAGCAGCCCCCCAATGGCTCCTGGGAGCAGCCCTGCTGTGGACAACCGGCCCCACAGGAGCACCTCCCGTCTGTGCCCCATGGGCCACACCCTCGCCGAGGGGCATCGACATGGTGGAGGGCCCTCCCTGGGTGTGGGTGTGGGGACCCCCACTTACCCATGCGTCCATGTTGGGGTGGGCTGATCAGGGAAATTCTGGCCGGCCCAGCTGCTACCTCGGGCTAAGTGCGTAAACGGAGACAGGTCAGGGCGCCTGGGTGCTGCCGTGGGTCCAGCGCCCCACTCTTGGTTTCAGCTTAGGTCGCAACCTCAGGGTAGCGGGATAGAGCCGCGCGGACTCAGCCTGGGGTCCTCTCCCTCTGCCCCTGCCCCCGCTCGCTCTCAAATATTGTTCTCAAAAAAACACCAAGCCAGTTTCCAATGCTGCCACTTCTGAGCAAGACCCTCCTTGCAACGCACTTAGTCCCGTCGGTGGCCAAATTCCTGGGCGCCCGGACCGCAGACCCCAAGGGCAGGGCACTCGCAGCTCCTCCCCATGCTCGGAGGCCTCCGCCCAGTGCCCTCAAGAATGTCAGAAGGCAGAAAACGTCATGTCCTTACTGACGTCACAGATTTTACCTTTTTTTTTTTTAAGATTTTATTTATTTATTCATGAGAGACACAGAGACACAGGCAGAGGAAGAAGCAGGCTCCATGCAGGGAGCCCGACGCAGGACTCGATCCCAGGTCTCCAGGATCACGCCCTGGGCTGTAGGCGGCGCTAAACTGCTGAGCCACCGGGGCTGCCCTACATTTTACTTTTTAAGGATTTTATTCGAGAGCGAGCATGCACACGCAGGAGAAGGGGCAGAGGGGGAGAGAGAATCTCAAGCAGACTCCCCTCCGCCCAGAGTGGGGCTCGATCTCATGCCCCTGACACCACCAAGAGTCAGACACTTAACCAACCGAGCCATCCAGGAACTCGACATCATAAATTTTAAGATTCTGACTAAGTCCTCATTTTGTGCATGTAATGTTGTCACCTGAAATGCAGACACTGAGGGGGCGAGGCGTTCTCAGCCGCACGGGGCCCTGCCCCGGCCATGCACCTGTCATGCCCCCGGGGACGGTCCCTCTCCCAGCCTCCCGGGTGTGGACCTAGTGATGGGGGCACCCTCCTCCGATCGAGGTGCTGCCCACACCCAGGCCAAATGCTGTTTGCGGCTGCCTGGCCCCTGCCGGTCTCTGGACTGGCCACCGCCCGCGGGCCCACACGGTGGCCTGCCTTCCCAGCTCCCACCCGAGGCAACCCACCTCCGTGGTCCTTTATCGCATTGCCCCGCAGCTTCCCCTGGTGGCCCTGCTCCGGGGCACCCTCTGTGACCGCAGGCCCCGCTCACACCCACAGCCGGACTCCACCGTGGAGGAACTGAAAGCAGCACTGTCCTGCCTGGGGGGCGGTTCTCCAGTGAGACGTCCGCTGACCGCACGCTCACACCCACGACAGAGCTTCCCGAGGTGAAGCATCTCTCCAGCATCCGTGGGAATGGAGGGCTGGCCATGGCTGTCCCCCCAGGACCGGCGTCCTTCCCACCGGCCAGTCCCGGCAACTGCCTCACGCTGCTCACTCAGAGTAAGTCAGAGTGCCCAGCCGCCCACCCTCTCCAGGGCTCCCCGCCCCGTGGCTGCCCACTGAGTCAGGGTGCCCGGACGCACACCCCATGTGCCCCAGCAGCCCTTCACACCTGCTCCTCTCGCAGCCTCCCATAGCCTCCCTGTGCCCCTGAGCCCATCTCCAGCCAGCTCTGAACAACCAGCAGTATTTGCAACTTCAATAGAAAAGATCATTGTCACAGAAGGAGGACAAAAATCACTAGACCGTCTTTTCTCACTGTAGCTTCTACTAAGAAAGGGCTTTTCTTTGTTGGGTCAGCCCTCGAGTATCCTGTTTTGGGGAGAAGTCAGTAACAGGTGAAGAAAAAAGCATATAAAGACCCAAAGCGCTATGGACACAGGGCACAGGGGTGGCAGGCACGGGTTCTGGAGTTAGAGGTAGCAGGACAGGGCCCTGGGAGTTCCTGCTGCTGAGCTGCCTGCAGACCCCGACGGTCTCACGGGGCCCCACCAAGGGCCCACTCTGAGCACGGCAGGCACAGGCCCCCACCTGACCTGGCCCCACGCAGACCAGGCCGGGCCCGGGGGGTAATCACAGCAGCTTTACGGCTCTGCCTCTACTGACAACCTGCTCACTAGAGCTCTTCCTGTGGGAGAATAAACACTCCAGAAAGACCCAGGACTTTCCCGCACGACCAGGGGCCTGGGGCTGCGGGGTCTGGCTCTCCCTGCCCTGGAGCTGCCTAGTACGGAGCGCAGGCACCAGGGACAACGGCCCCACATCCCGCCCGGGTGCTGTGGATGCCGCTGGCTGTGCTCAGTGTGCTCAGCACACTGGTGCCCTCCTCTTTGCATCCTCCACGGCTGACGTGTTTGCTCTCTGGATTCTCCTTCAAGCAGGTTTTCACATTTTGCTGGCTTCCCTTGTGAACCCACGGGGTGGGCTGTGTGCACAAGACACTGGGAGTCATGCTCTCACTGTCCCTGGTAGGAAGCTGCAGGCCGGAGAGCCCGGGGCCCTGTGGGGAGCCATCAGCACCCTGTGCCCCCACGGGCGATGCCCTCTCACCCCCCGTCCAGGACCCTGGGCTCAGCGCAGGGCAGCGGGGTGGCACAAAGGACAAGGCCCTGCAGGACCAGCAGGGCTGTTTTGCGCAGATGTGGTGAGGTGGGCTGCGGTGCCCTCACCATGCCTCCCCTGCAGCCCCGGCCACTCGCCCCCACTTGCCCCCTGGGGCAGGGACCTCCCAGAACAGCAGACCACGGCCCCCACGGCAGCCCCTTGCCAGCCGAGCCCTGTTCTCACACCCCTGGAGGGTGTGTGCTGCCTCTGCTCCCGGCCCCCCCCCCGGCCCCCCAGCGTCTCCCAGGAGACTGTGCTCCCCCCGCCCCCACTGGGTGCTCACTGAGCTCCCGCCGAGGCGCCTGCTCATGCACCTACCCCCAGGACTCGTGGAGCGTCCGGGAGCTGAGCCCCACGGAGGACTCGTCTCCTCTGGAGCAGGGCGGGCACACCCCAGCCTGCCGATAGTTTTCCTGGAACGCAGGTGTGCCTGCTTGTTTCCTTCCCGGAAGCCCTTCTCCTGGAGATGTCCGAGCAGCTCCATGATCCCCATGTGCCCTGGGAGCAGCACGTGCTACCACGGGGCCCGCGCCTCATTCTGCAATTGTGACACCCCACCATCTTCCAGTCCCTCGGCTGGTCATACCCGGTGACACGTGAACTTATCAGGCCTCAGCCTCTGACCTCCAAACAAGGCCACATGTGTGTGAGGCTCAGGGTCCAGCCTCTGGGCAGCAAAGGTCAGCAGCGGCAGGTGGGGGCCCGGGGCAGGAGGAGGTGCGCCCAGTGTCCCCCTGACGTGACGGGCAAGAGACGGGCGCAGGAAGGACACGCTGGCACCGCTGCCAACGGCCGGGGTGTGCCCTGCACCCAGCTCACAGCGGCTCTGCATTCCTGCCTGCTGCTGGGATCCACACTCCTCTTCAACGTGCTCCAGGGTGGTCCCTGGAAACAGTGCTACTTCTCACGGAGCAGCCCGAACCCAGTGTGCGCCCACAGTCTTTGCATGCGGGGTGCTCGCCAACATTAAGGTGCCCTTCCCGGGCTGGCCACTCCCTCTGGGGACCCACTTCCCCAGCTGTGTCCGGAGGTGCGGCACCTAGACAGGGAAGGAGCCGAGCTCCCCGCCACTGTTCCCTGTTGGCTCTTCTCCTGGGTTCCTCAGCTGGCTGGGGGGGTGGTGGTTTGTCCTGACTACCCAGCACCTCTCCCTCCCTCCTGCCTGCCTGTCGGGCTCTGCTTGCGGAGGGGGCGCACCTGCAACTGTCTTCAGGACCCGCCCGGCCAGCCATCCCACCCGCTCACTGCTCGGCCAGCACTCATCCAAGAGGCCCCACGGTGGCCGGTGGCCGCCTGTCTCCTGGCGCACAGAGAAACCACAGAAGCTGCGTGTGGGGGAAGCAGCACAGGGAGCAGGTGTACTTACTTTCCTCGTCGGGGACGGAGTACGGTCGACTTGCATGGACTCCACTCTGTGAAGTGAACGGGGGATATATTTCCTGGGCCCGGGGCTCCGGGGAGGAAGGAGCACCAGCCCAGACCTGTGCCCCCTACCCCGGCCCTCAAGGGCCACCCACAGTCGGGGCAGACGCACAGGGGAGCACTCCTCCGCCCCCTCCTTCCACAGCCAGCTGTGTCCTCGCCCCTCTGAGACCCAGACCCCCTGCACCACAGGCAGGGGCGTCTTCTCCATTTAGCACTTACTGCCTGACCCGCACGTGTTACACCATGACCCCCCACGTTTGACAGCGGCACGCCATCTGGGCGCCCCGCAGGAGACGATGGCAGAAGACAGGACAGAGGATGAGGGGGGAACGCAGGCAGAGGGCGAGCTGCTGGAGGAAGCTCGGGCACTGCCCCAGACACACCCACACTGCGTCAGGGAAGAGTGGGGGCCAGGGCTGCTGCCAGCACAGCTGCGGTCTCCCGTCGTCTCTGTGCGGGTTCCCTTCCAAGCCGCCACCCCCAGCCTGGCAGTCCTGGTCCCAGACCAGAGTCCCAGGGATGACACCCATCAGCCCGGCATGGGTGTGGGATGGCCTGCAGCTGATCGCTACGACGGAGGGGACGGAGCCGTCATGGGCCAGCCTGGACCACACACCTGCCTCTGGGGCTGTGCCGGGAGGCACACGGGAGGGCCCAGCCCCTGACTCCTGAGCCACGTGTTCCTGCTCGCCCACGGAGCCGTCCAGCATCGGGGGTACTCAGAGGGTCGGGGGAGGGCCATGTGACACCCAGGGGCCCCCGATGCTCCCAGGGCACACACCTGTCAGAGGCTGACGACTCTAGGCGCAGAAGCAGGTGTCCAGCTGGCTTTGCGGAAGGAGCTGTGGTGGAGGTGTGAGCGTTAGGCTGCGTCCAGCCGGGTGGACGCCTCTTCATAGCCGTTCTGTTTCGGCCCCATGTTACTTACTTGAAACTGGAGTTTTCATTGCGCCGAGAACTGGTTCTTGTGACAATCTCATACTAAACAGAGAGAAGGCGTTAATTAAACCATAAACATTTACTCCCGCGTCACTCACTGCAGTTTGGAGCACAAGACGACAAACAGCCAGATGCTCCCCATCCACCCAGTGCCCCGGGCTCGGCCAGCCTCAGACCCCCTTCCCACACAGAGAAGCCCGAGGACAGGCAAGGGGCCCGCGGCTCGCTGACATGCCCGCACTTCGTCCTGGGAACACGGGGCGGGGGCGGGCACGGGCTCCCGCTTGCTGACTTGACACCAAGCTGTTCCCCCCGGGGACACAGCGCGGTAACAGAGAGCCCACGGCCCCCGCGCCCCCAAGGATGAGGCCATCCTCCCTGGGAACGCAGGCCGCACGGGTGTGCGCGAGCACGCCAGCAGGACGACCGGCCCAGCCAGGCCAGAAAGCTCCACCCGGAGCAAGAGCCCGAGGCATCGGGTGACGTGTCTAACAGAAATGGGGACCAAAACATGCTGACACCACAAAGGTAAAGATGACCCAGAAAAAAAAAAAAAACGATGACCCAGAACCTTCCACACGTGCAAAATCGAGCCGCCAAAATGAAGCCGAGGTGGGAGAGGTGTGCAGCGCAGAGAAGCAGGGCCAGGGGGGCAGACCCATGTGGGGCACTGAGTGGCACAGCAAGAGGGGCCACGGAAAGACTGCGGCTATGGATTTTCCACAGCTCACAAAGAACAGGATTCCTTGACGCCGCGGAGGCCGAGACCCACATGGGGGTGCTGCCCTCTGCTGCCCCCGCTCCACGGAGCGGCTGGGAACCGGGTCCCCCAGAGCGCACCCTAACACTGGGGCCGGCTGCTGGGCGCCCTCTCACCCTGTCCGTGGTGGCCTTGGCACGTCGGCGCCCGATCCACAGCGTCCACCCGCAGCCGGGGTCACCCTGCACACACGAGCCGTCGGTGCACAGCAGCTCCCCAGGACATCAACCCTGTGGCCTCCAACCTGATGTGCGGCCCCCAGCGGGGCTTCTGCGGTGCCCCCGGCCTAACACACCTGAGCCAGATGAGAGGCCGTACAGAGGCTGCCCTGCCCCAGCCGCAGGCCACACGCGTCCACCTGTCACGGACGCCAGGGCCCCGGCAGCAGGCTGCGGGCGGGGGTCCAACAGGGCCTGGCCACAGGGCCCGTCCGCACACGGGCCTCTGGGAGCACCCCCAGGACAACTGTTCCTGTGCTTTCACGGCCCCCTTTGCTTCCCATCACCTCCTGCTGCATTTTTGCTTCGACGGAAGCTTCTGGCAAATGAACGTGCTCTTTCTTCTGCTGCCCTGGTCACAAGGTCTCAGACAGATGGCCAAGCAGGCGGCACGGTCGGGCGCCCCGCGGGAGCTCGTGGACAGCACCCACCTCTGCAGCTGTTCCATCCGCAGCACGGACTTCTGAAGGGATTCCTCCAGCCTCGCGATCTAAACACAACCAGACCCCAGTCATCGGGCCAGCTGCATGGACCGTCTACATGTCTTCAGCCACAAGTCAGAATGTGGGGGACGGGGCCCCCAGGGTCTCCCCGGCTGAGGGTCTGCCTTCAGCTCAGGGCGTGGCCCCGGGGTCGGGTCCCCGCAGGGAGCCTGCTTCTCCCTCTGCCTGTGTCTCTGTGTCTCTCAGGAATAAATAAATAAAATCTTAAAAATTTAAGAATGTGGATGACATGAGTGCTGCCCTCTTGCCGCAAACCTGCATGGAGTGCAGGCCACCAGGGCCCTGGAACCCGCAGCCTGGACAGCGTGATGCCGTGGGGAGGCTCAGCCTCAGCCGGGGCCCCCCTGGGTGCTCCCCTACGCTCCTCCATCTACGCTCCACAAGGCATCTCGAGTCCGCTCTGAGACTCCAAAGGAGAGTATTTATTGGGCAAACAGGCATCCTGACCGTCCTTCCATAAGGATTCCCCAGGGCAACCTCACAGCTGCCATTTGTGGAAAAGGGCCCGAGTCCTGGGGATGCTAGTGGGTCCGTGTCAGCGTTCCAAAGTGAGACTGCTCCCGTGACCCTGGCTGGGTCCCCAGGTGGCCACGCGCAACAGCAGACAAGAACCCCACGGGTTGTGGGTCAGGACAGGTGCCCACGCAGTGGCCCGCCCGCCACCTGGAGACACAGCCTTGGTTAGCGAGGCCGCCAGCCCCCCGGATTTACCTTTTCTCTATAGAAGGCCAACAGTCTCCTTCTGTGCTTTTCTTGAAATTCTGAAACCTGAGAAGAGAATACGTGTCAGCTGCTGGCAGTGGGCCGCTACCGCGCAGCGAGTCCCAGGCGCAGCGGCCGGGAGGGGCCTCCAGCGCAGGCACAAGCATGCTCTGCTTCCCTGCGCCCTGTCCCCCTGCCCGCCTGCCGGCCCGGGCTTAGGCGCTGCTGGCTGCCACCCTGGTCTGGAGCAGAGCTCGGAGACGCTGTGCTGGCCGCGTGTGCAGCGGCGCGTGTGCCTGAATGCAATGCTAGCTGAGGCAGCGTGCTCCATGTGAGGTCGCAGACAGCGAGGGTGGCACCGGCCCCCATGCCTGGGGCTTCAGTGGTTCTCGGGGCCCAGCCACGGGACGGGACACGGCCCAGCAGGCCAATCAGCGGACCATCCCTTTGGCAGCAGCAACTGGATCACGGGATGGCCTCCTGACCAAGCAGCACCAACAGGAAACACCCTGGCAGTGCGACGTGGACGGGCTGGCCCAGGAGGGGAGACCGGCACAGGCCATGTGCCACACCAAGTGGAGGGGAGTGCTCCTGAGAGCCCAGGCCCTGGTCTGGACCCTGGGCCCACTGACCCGGGCCTTGTGCCACCTCTGGTCTTCCATTTACACGAGCCCCAACTTGCACACAGCAGCAGGACCTGAGAGCACCAGCGTCACCCAGAAACTGCCACCTGGGATCCACCCAGGGGAGGAGACGGGCATCCCACATCAAGGGAGATTTCCAGGTGGTGACGCCTCCCCTCCTGGAATGCTGCACTGTAATTGCCAATACGGGGCTCTGCTGCCCCCGGGCATGGGCATGGCCCCACGTGCTCAGTGGCCTCCTCTAGGTCCCACACTGTCCATGCAGCCCAGGACTTTGTTTAGTGGACGGACATGAGGGCGGGCCCTGGACCCAGACTCCCTGGGCTAGCACAGGCCAGGGCAGGAGCCGCTGTGGACAGGACAGCCAGCCCACAGCTTCGGTGCCTCCCCCACGGCCAGGCCAACTCCTGAAGGGGTCACGGTCAGGAGTGACCAACACCCCCTTCCTAGACTCCTGCATCTTCCAGGGGATCCCACACCCTTGGGGCCTGGAGGACACGATGGACAGGTCCCGTTCCCCAGGACAAGGGCTGACAGACGTGGGCTCTGTCTGGAGCATCTGTCTGGTGGGGGCGCCATGAGGGCCCATCATGTTGTCCCCATGGGCACCCTCATCTTCGCAAGGCCACGTCCAGAAGTGCCCCCGATGCTCAGTGATGGGCCAGCTTCCAGGCGAGGTGGGGGGAGGCAGCAAGGAAGGGTGGCCAGGCCTAGACCTGAGGCAGGGGCGCGCATGGCCAGGAGGGCTTTGGGCAGACCTAGAGCCCCCCACCCCGCCCCACAGTCACCCTCAGCCAAGATGGGGCTGACAGTCCGTCACCTCAACAACATGGTCTCGTTCCTCAATGGGCTCCGTGCCCACAGCAGGAAGAAGGTTATCACACAGCTGCCTGTAAGCCTCATGTCCTGGAACAGGGCCCACCCTGAGACACAGGAGACACATGCGCTGGAAGCGACCGCAGGACAGCCCACCCGGAGCACCAAGGAGCAGGGCCGTGCCTGCACTGGCACCGGGGCCCAGCAGGGCCTGCGGGCTGGCAGCGGCTGTCCTTGAACCAATACAGGCAGAGAACAAGCGTGCAGGCCTCCGTGGCTGACACAGTCATGAGGCCACAGCCAGGACGGGGTCACGGAGAGCTGAGCCTGGGAGGCTCACGCACAGGACACTAAGGCAGGGGGCAGCATCAGCCCCGTGTCCGTGCACCGCACACCTGTACCAGGCAGGGGCCTCCGGGATGTCAGGCCCTTCAGGAGGAGCTGCTGTGGCTGTACCGGGCGGGCAGGGGGTGCGGACACCAGCAAAATAAAATCTGAAAGGGCCACGAACCTCATCTGGTAGAGTGTGCCCCCCCTGGATGGAGTGGACACCCGTTTCCCGAGATTTTTACGGAGAGCAGAGGCTGAGGAAGGCCAGGCCAGGAGGCGACGGGCAGGGAAGCTGTGGGACGGCCCAGGGGACCGTCTCCTTGGGCAGAGCCACGACCTCTGTGCGGCAGGTGCAGGGCGCCTGGAGCAGCCTCGTGTGCACACTCTGACTCACTGACATGGGCCAGCCCCGATGGGGAGGTCGTCAGGGGAAGGAGGAGAGAAAAGGTTCTGCTTCTGACCAGAACAGGAGGGGTGACTCCTGAGGGCTTGTGCGAAGCCACCTGCCGTGGTTCTGGGGCCTGGGCCAGGGCCTCCGGGGGGCTTCATGCTCTTTAAGTGGGTCTTCTGCCCCACAAGAAATTCATACCGAGCGGAACCTAAGATACACACCAATTCATTCATTCAAGAATAACAACAGGCCCAGTATATTGACAGACACACATGTGAAATCCCATCACGTGGCCTCTGGAAATAGTTTCGCACCCTGACCCTGGCACGCGGCCATGGGACATGCAGCCCAGAGGCGTGAGGCAGGTCCCTTGGCAGTGGCCCCCCACCCCTGTGCGGGCACAGGCTCTGACACGGCACAGGGCTCCACGGGGCCGTCAGGAAATGCCATGTCCTCAGCTCCCGTGGTCGCCAATGCCAGGGCTGTGAGGACCTCCCAGAACGTGGACAGCTTCTGGGCTTCAGGAGCCTGGATCCCCTGTGGCCAAGGCAAGGAGACCTCCAGGCCCTCGCCTGGCACTGGCCCGGCGCTACTGCTGTGTTCTAGGGCATCTGTGTGTGGCCCAGGCCCCTCCCAGGACACTGGGCTGAGTGCAGGTGCACAGCCATGACACCGTGGTGCTTCCAGCTGCGTGACAGTGGGAGACAAGAGGCCGTGCAGAGGAGGGGTGGCCTCGGCAGGGCTGCTGGACCACGGCCTCCAGATGTGCAACGGGCCCAGGATGGTCAGTGTGAGCACAACTCTCCCTTGGCCTCCTCCCGTGGAGGGTAGGTGGGAGGTGGCCTGCAGCAGGCGGGAGCTCCCGTTAACAGAACAGGGAGAAGCAGGAGGGCTGGGGGCTGGAGGGCTCCCTTCTCTCCAAGGAGGCAGCTTCTTGGAGAGAACGGCAGCCCGCACATGGTTCAGTGACAGCTGGGCATTCAGGCGTCTGGGGCAGGGTGAGGTATGAGGAGGGATTCACGACACTGGAGGGAGGAGCAGCAGGTGAGATGTGGGGGACGAGGCACACGTGGTGAGGGGAGCAGGGCCGGGAGGAACACAGGTGCCCGGGATGGGAGAGTGTGCCCAAGTGGACCATGACCCTCAGGAAGGACAGCCTCACGAAGCAGCCTGCAGCCTCGACTAGGGCCCTTCACACCCCAAAGGTGAGGCCTGCCCCAGACTGAGAGGATCAGATGACAGCCGTGTCCCCACACACAGCAAAGGCATAAGCAGCCATAGCAGAACGCAACCGAGGGCTCAGGCATAGCGAAGGCAGCAAACACGTGCTGATCCCAAATCCCAGAGGGACTGGTCTCAGAGTACGTCATACAGGGTCTCTGCTGACATCATCACAAACTCGCGTCTCCGATGCGTGCTGGGAGGACGGGCGTCATGCTGAGCGAGAAGCTCCACGTGCAACGCTCACCTGGGAGGTCTCTCTCGAGTACTTCTTGCACAGGCCGTCTATGCCCATGAATAGCGCCTGGATATCCACGTCGGTCTGAAAGGGAGGAGAAGCGGAGGTCTGTGTCACCGCTTCTAACGCAGGCTTACAGACCCCGGGGAGAAAACTGCACCCCGAGATCTAGAACTAGCCACAGATGACACCAACCATCATGTCCAGATGTCCTGGAGCCCTGGGAGGGTCGCCCATGTCCTGGTTGCCAGTGGCTGTGGCAGGCGAGGGGCTCCGGGCACCTGCTGCAGGACAGGGGTGAGGTGAGACACACCCCTACCTGGAAAGACACCCCCAAAGGCTGAAGGGGCAAGACAGAGCACACACACAGAACTCAGGAGGGAAAAGGCAAAGGAGCACGGCTGTGACCCAATCACACCAGACTGAAAAGCTGCAGGGAGAGCCTTGTGTCCTCCCCATTTGGTCTTTAGTCTGGACTGTAACCAAGTCATGAACATCAGGATGCTGGCTAGGGAGCCATTTATGCCCCTCAACTCCACTAAAACAACAGTGAAACTACATCAGGTTAGTGTGAGAAACCGGGCCACATGCCATGAAGGGCAAGGCCTTCTGGAGCAGACAGCAGAGGGGCCGGCGCGGATCTGGCTTTGGGAGAGGACGGGCCAGTGTGGGGACATGGCCCTGGAATCCACGCCCGGGTGTCAGGATGGTGGGGACCCTGCACAAGGTTGCCTGGGCAGACCAGGGCATCATGGGGAGGCATGGCCTCCAGGTACCTGTGAGCTCTGCTCTGCACCAGCAAGACCTGCCACGCTGGCACATGGCTTGATGCCACCAAGCTTCCATCTCCTGAGCAAGGCAAGCACATGTGGAGCCTTCCCTGAGGGCCGTGCAGTGAGCAGGCAAATGAGGAGAGGAGTGCCCCTGAGAGAGCATGGCCAAGCCTGGTGCTCAGCAAGGGGGCATGCCTGCATGTAAAGTACGTCACATACAGACCACCCAAAACTGGACAGAGAGCTCCAGGGTCAGAAATGCAAGCACCTGGAAATGCTGTCACCGATGTGTCAGGGGCCACATCACAGGTACGTGAAGGCCAGCATGGCACAGGGGGTGTGTGGAGACAGGGCAACCAAGGGTTCTCCAGCCTAACAAACGCCTCCTGCACCGGCCAGACAGGACACCTAGCAGACAACTGCCATCACATACGGGGTAGCCACGCCGTGGAAAGAGGTAAACAACAGAGGAATATGATCAAAGCACCAGAAAACATTAATTTCCATTAAAGAATTCTAAGCCCAGTGAAACTATGCTTCAAAACAGGCAAGAGGGCAGCCCGGGTGGCTCAGCAGTTTAGCACTGCCTTCAGCCCAGGGAGTGATCCTGGAGACCCGGGATCGAGTCCCATGTTGGGCTCCCTGCGCGGAACCTGCTTCTCCCTCTGCCTGTGTCTCTGCCTTTCTCTGTCTCTGTGCCTCTCATGAATAAAAAAAAAAAAAAAAACAAAAAAACACACACACACACAAAAAAAAAACGGAGACAAGAAGAGAGGTCCTTTTCAGACAAACCAGAAAACTTGTCACCAACAGGAGACACTGTCTTCAGGTAGGAAATGGTTCCTCGGTGGGAGCAGGGGGTTCCGGGGCCAGTGAGGAACACGAGGGAAGGGGAAGTGGGGTTACCCAGACCAGAATGGCGACTGCACACTAGCTGCCCTGTGGGGCTCTGTGCAGGCAGAAGAAACCACACGCCAGCAGGGGAGGGGCAGGTGAGACAAAGGTAAAACGGCAGAGGTCTCTAAGGGCCTCACATCAGCAGGAAGGTCTAGTCCATGTCAGGGTCTCTGGGGTCACGGAAATGAACTCTGTCTTGGTCTGAGTGGTGGATACGTTCAAGTCACAAACAATTCCCAGAGCCACGCACCTGTATCTGTGCACTTTCCCCTATTAGACTTCAACAAAAGTCAATAAAAATAACAAGTAAAATTCCCTATTTCTCAGTCAATATACTTTCAGAAAATGCACAGGTCACAGGAGTAATTGAGTAGAAATTTCAAATTATTTCAAAGTGAAAGTCAAAAAAATGTAAAGAAGCCAAACACATACAATCCAGGCAAGGATGAACAGAGGGGTGCCCCAATCCCATAGCACAAATCCCACCCATCTTACAAAACAGACTAAGTCCAAAGGAAAAAAAAGGAAACAGAGAACATAGCTGAGAACAAATGTAAAGTGCAGATAAACACTAGTTCTCTGAGAATGCTGATAAAAAAAAATAAAACGAGGAAGATTGTTGAAGAATAAAGAGAAACTGCAGCAACTATTACTTTGATGAGAAGGGGACATCGCTACAGATCTAAGACTCTGAAAATACAGAATACTGCAGGCACGCTGATGAGACATTTGAAAATCTGGATAAAGTGCACAAACTCCTAAAGAAAGACCACTCACTCACGCTGACCCAAGAATTAGGAACTCTGAAGACTCCATATCTAATTAAAAATTTAAAACCTGGGAGGCCTGGGTGGTTCAGTGGTTGAGCATCTGCCTTCAGACCAGGGCGTGACCTCGGGGCCCCGGGATCGAGTCCCACATCGGGCTCCCTGCGTGGAGCCTGCTTCTCCCTCTGCCTGTGTCTCTGCCTCTCTCCCTGTGTCTCTCAGGGATAAATACATAAGATCTTTTTTTAAAAAAATTAAAACCCTAGCTAAAAACTTCCCCACAAAAAGCCTTCTAGGATCAAGTAGCGCCACCAATGAATTCTAGCATACATTCTCTGAGTAACCACCCCCCCAAAAAAAAACTAGAGAAAAGAAAAATGAAAGAATTTCCAACTCCTTTTAAGCCAGTGAAAACCCGACTCACCAAAACTTGAAGAGAGTATCTATAAGAAGAGTTACAGATTGGTTCTCACATGAACACAGGCACAAAACCCCCCAATCCCTCTGCACATGTAGGCTATACTGCATCACAACCAAGTTGTAGTGTTTAAATTTGACTGTGGGTATAGGGACACCAGGATGGCTCAGTTGGTTGAGCATCTGACTCTGGATTCAGCTCAGGTCATGATCTTAAGTGGAGCCTGCTTGAGATTCTCTCTCCCTCCCCCCTCCTCCTGGCTTACATGCACATACATGCTCTCTTTCAGTCTCTCTAAAAGGTAAATAAACAAAATCTTCAAAAAAAGAGAATTCTACCTTGGGTTTTTTTTTAAGATTTTATTTATTTATTCATTCATGAAAGAGCAAGAGAGAGGCAGAGACCCAGGCAGAGGGATAAGCAGGCTCCATGCAGGGAGCCGGACGTGGGACTCGATCCCACCAGGTCTCCAGGATCAGGCCCTGGGCGGAAGGCAGCACTAAACCAGTGAGCCACTTGAGGATCCCCTGCTCTGAGTTTAAAATTCTAAAAATAGGGGATCCCTGGGTGGCGCAGCAGTTTGGCGCCTGCCTTTGGCCCAGGGCGCGATCCTGGAGACCCGGGATCAAATCCCACGTCGGGCTCCCGGTGCATGGAGCCTGCTTCTCCCTCTGCCTATGTCTCTGCCTCTCTCTCTCTCTCTGTGTGTGACTATCATAAATAAATTTAAAAAATTTAAAATTCTAAAAATAAATACAATTCACTATATCAACAAAACACAGTAAAAAAATCAAATGACAACCCTGATATTTACAGAAAAACCATCTGATAGAATCCAACATGGCTCCTGATAAAAACCCTTAGTAAGAAAGCCAGGGTACCACAAATACGTCATGGTGAACCACTGGAAGCTTGACCCTGAAGTCACAAAGTGACAAAGGACACCGCCATCACCACTGTGTCTCCTCGTAGCCTGTGCAAGGAGGAAAAGGTGGCAGAGAGAAAGAAAGGGAGGAATGACACAGAGATTGAGCATTTGGAGAGGACATGGTTGTGCAGAGAGAGACTCTAGGAAAAGCTCCAGATCAGCCGACAGCATTATCAAATGAAAACAAGGAGACTAGATAAAAGCTAATGAACAAAATCTACTGATTTTTATATGCCAGCAATAAGCACAACAGAGATGACATCTTAAGAGGTGAGCAAGGCATCACCCCAAATCATCGGGGCCCAAGGATGAAGCTAACAGTGCGCAGCCTCAGTGCAGAAAATCACCACTGGAACCAGAGCACAGCTGAGTACACGGAGGGGCGCCACGCTTGTGGACTAGAGAGTCCACGCTGCAGAGACGTCAGCTTTATCTACGTTACTGATTAAGCACCAACCCAACAGGACCTAGTGTGTGTGGAAACTGACAAGTTGGTTCCAAAAGTTACATGGCACGTGCAGCAAACAGCGCCCGATCTCAGTGGCTCATGGAGGACACCCGTTTCCCGTCTGCACATGGATGGCCTCCCCTCGGGGCATAGCAGCTCTGCCTTGTTGGGTAACCAGTATCCACTTGGCAGAGTGGGGGGCTTTCCAGGAGAATGTTTTGGGTCCAGGCCTGCAGTGGCGTTGCTCCTGGAAGCAGGGGGGAGGCTGAGTCTAGCTGGAAGCCAGCAGGCCAAGGAAAGCTCCCAGCCAGACCAGTCTGCTGTTCTAGTGGCTGGTGTCTGTTTTTCTCCCCCCTACACAGAAAGGTCACCCCCCCAAGTGCCCCCTCTCTGAGTTTACGCCAAACCCAGGTCCTCGATGGCATGTGGTCTTATCCTCCTAGTCCTGGTCCCACCGTGAGCCTCTGACCTGGGGCAGGACAAGTGAGTCCACCGCTCAAGAGGACTCACTGGGGTCCGGGGGAGACCAGAGAGCGTTGGTTCTGCCGCTGTGGGTTGTTCCTCCCCCA